TGTGGTCTCACCGGAAACCGAAGGAGAATTGCCGTGTGGTTAAGACTGTTGCATTGTGCCAAGAAGTCCTCGGCTCACCGTCCGGCTGCTCCGATGAAACTGTGATAAACTTTAGTCTGTACTGCTACAGATATACTCAGACCAGGAATCCATACTTTACGAAATAGAGCAAAAATATACTAAACCAAGAGAAAAGGTGGCCGGCTGTAACCCTAGTCGCTTTTTTTTCTTAATACAACTTTTCTGGGAATGTACCAGATCAACGGTCCGATAGTGGAAATCCTCTTGAATACTATGGCAGAGGATGCAGGACTAATAACGTACCAAAAGGTCTCGCTGTCGCCCCAATATTATTGCGAATATGTGGTCAGACTAATACTATACAGGTCAAGGAGACTGCGACCGAACAAAAGGCCTTAATATCTACAATAACTGATCAAGCCCAGTTTATAGTATAAGGGTGATATAGTAGTATAGTAGGTATGACCTGGATTTCAATGTAAAAAAACAGGGTTTTATAAGAGTCCCTTAGTGATTTATTGCGACATGACCTTTAATTTCGGAGGAAGAGTTGATGGGAAAGAAGTTGCCGAGGGAGGATTGCCTTAGAGGAGTGACAATTGTTGGATTACCATCCCGATGAACCTGTACTGAGAATTTGTATGTCATCCTCAGAAAGATAAACTATACTTACCGAAAATCACACTAAATACAATAATCCTAATCCACCAATTTTTTCCAAGCAAATTTTCCTTTGATATGTAATGCCATGTTACAATGAAGTAGTTTGTTGTTATACTCGTTTTCAGTTCGAGTTCGCTATACGAATGATGATACTTGTCGAGATAAAGACGAACACACATCCCCTTAGTCTGCTGAACTGTATGAGGGTATCTATAAGGCTGCAGGAGTTTGAATGATCAAGCTTTGAAATAAAGTAATGTTCTTACATCTTTGGTGAAATCAGCCTTCGAATCTCTTAATTGAACTATTTCATCCAAAATAAAATTCAGCTTTACTATGCTATATAATGAATTTCATCGTAAACCACTTCCAATTAGTAACTCTAGGCGGAATTCATGGCTATTGTGTTACTCATTTGTACATAAATAATTGCAACTAGACTACAATGAATTTCACAACGCGTGATCAATTAATAATATTCAGTGTTATCCTCTCTACTTCTCAAAACGATTTCTTTTAACTAAGAATAACTTTAAATCAAAACTATAAAAAATTGCTATTTTAGTAAAATAACACCATATACAACCAGGTAAGATCATAAAGAGAAGTTGGTAGGAAATGTTCAGCATCCCGATCCGGATTCTCTAGAGACTTACCACTTTCGGATCCATGAGCTGCAGATTCTGCTCAGGCTGACTTAATCATTATAAAATGTCGCAAAAATACCATTTTCAGGAGTTAGACCTGACGTAGTTCCCATAAGTAAACACAATTTCACATCTTGAATCGGTTCACCACTGAATCGATTATCCACCTCCAAGGGGAGTGGAGCGTTAAGGTGATCCTCAAATTTTCCCAAGTCGGTCTGGTTGGAACCAGGGTAAAGCTATTGGGGATGTGCACATTCAAATCTGGTTGACATTTTAGAGAGTAGCATCCTTAACAGCCTATTCAGCCCAATAATACATAACGTGGGTACTGTTTTAATAAAAATTTTATTACGACATCTTGAACTCCACATAAATCCTGCGCATATTTACGCCTCCATCACAATGAGCATCGTATATATAGGCTTTAAACTGTTATGCGAATTGAGTTCTTTGACTGGCTGGCCCCTGCATACATTCGTTATTCATAAAGATTGTAGTTCTACTTGGGAGTCTATTAGTAGTGTAAAGTGATTGAGTGTATTTTGGCAATTCAACAAAGATCAACTCCATCATTTAGCCCAAACAAACTAATTTAGTTCTCAATTTTTCCCGGACAACTTCGCCTGCTTTCTGATACACCCTCAGCTCATACCAAAAGTGGAGTTTATATGTGCTATTGCCAGTTTGCATCTGCCCGGCTCAGCTAATCCCGGTTTAGCAATGTATCCATGTGTCAAGGGAATCTTTATCGGCCTGGCTCAGACGTTCTCCCCCAGAACCTCTCCACCCCGACTCTGCTCCCCCACCGCCCCAGCTGCCGCAGTCTTTCTTTTCCCTAAACGATGGGCCTCACATCCTCTCGCCGCTGTCAGGTTTTCAATCCTGACAGCCTAGTGGAACTAACTGACTCCGGGTTGAGTCGATTTTCCCATCTCAAGTTGGGAATCTCTCTCCATCTCTCTCTCCCTCTTTCCCTCTCTCTCGCGTTATCTCTTTCTCTCTCTCTCTCTCTCTCTCTGACTTTCCACTTGCGCCACCGTACCTCGAAGCGTTTGCGTCTTCGAGCTTCAAACGGTTTTCCCAACCAATCAAACATAAGCTTTTCACTATTAACTAAATATTTCGTCTAATCAACCTACTGAATTCATTTTTTTTCACCCGCCTCCTCTCGCTTTTCTGTTCTCATCTGCCATCTCTGTAACAGGCCAAAATCGGGCTCACTGTCCAAATGTGGCGCGGCCATGAGGGAATGAGCCAGAGCAATTATACATTTTCCAGCGCCGCCTCTGCGCAAGAAGTCTATACACACATTGTTCAACTGCACGTGCCGTACGAGTTGGTTTTTACTCCGAGCATGGTTTGAAAAATAAAATATGTATGCAAGCCATATTATAATGGTGTATGTTATATGCATCACCGTGGGCATGTATACACATGCATTTATGTAAAACTATGACAACCGGCCAGGCAATGATGATTTACTCAGTACAAAGGCCTCTCAAAGACATTTGATTGGCTGCGGTGACCCCACCTCGTGTGCATTGAGGACGATGTTGCCCGGCCAACTTCATGG